CCGCGCCGGGGCTGCGGGCGCGCCCGCAGCGAGTGCCGGGGTGGGCCGGGACCGGGGACCGGGGGGGCGGGGCCCGGGAGCGACCCCCGGGAACGGACCGGCCCCGCACCGGGGGTGACGTCATCGCGTCACGGAGAGGAGCGGCCGTCCGCGGGTGACGTGAAGCCGCCGGCCGGCAGGGGGCGCTGAGGGCGGCGCACGGGCCATGGCGGAGCGGGAGGGTGAGTGCGGGCCGGGACACGGGGACCGGGACACGGGGACCCGGCCGCGCTCACGCTCCCGTCATTCTAGGTGGGAACCCCGAGGGAGCTGCGCCGGTGCCGGCGGGACCGCAGGTGAGCGGGGCCGGGGCTGAAGTGAGGCCGGGGCTGGTGTGATGCCGGGGCTGGAGTGAGGCCGGCGCTGGGAGCGGGGCCGGGGCTGGAGTGAGGCCGGGGCGGGGAGCGGGGTCCGGGCCGCCTGACGGTGTGTGCTCACAGGCCCCGGAGCTCTCCCGGGAGGAGAAGCTGCAGCTGCGGAAGGAGAAGAAGCAGCAGAAGAAGAAGAAGAGGAGCGAGAAGGCGCCGTCGGCCGAGCCCGCGGAGCTGGGTGCGCCCCCCGAGGCGGGGCAGCCGCGGGGTGAGCGCCGCCGTCCCCGCAGAGCCCCGAGCGGCAGCGCCGGGCCGGGCCCGCGGGTGTCCCGGGCCGGCAACGCCCGCAGCCGGCCGTGTCTTCCAGCGGGACCCCTGGGTGTAGCCCCACGCCGTGCCCCGGTCCGGGCCCTCGCACAGCCGCGTTGCCGGGGACTGCAGTACAGAGAGCCCCGTCCCCTGCCCGCGGGAGCGCGGGGCTGCCCCGGGGTGCGGTGTCGGCTGCGCGGTGCCCAGGGCGTGCAGCCCCTTGAGGGCACAGAGGGCTCTCCCTGCCGCGGGCTACCCCTCGCACTGGGCTGCATCTCCCGGCGAGACTGGGCACAGACTCCCCTTCCTCCCCACAGCAGCTGCTCAGCCCACGGCCCCCCCTGCCTCGGCTGATGGCCCCGGTGACGGCGAGAAACCCGCGGGGGGCAAGAGCAAAGCGGAGCTGCGAGCGGAGCGCCGGGCTAAGCAGGAGGCTGAGCGGGCCCAGAAGCAGGCCAGGAAGGCAGAGCTGAGCCAGGCAGCCACGACGGCCAAGCCCCGGCAGAGCCCCACCGAGCCCCAGTCCAGTAAGGCTGTCAGCACCACGGGGTGCAGAGGGTGGTGAGCAGGATGGGAGGGTCTGGTGTGGGCACAGGCAGAGAATGCCCATGTGATCCATCCGTGCTCTGGGTTCTGCCTTTTCCTGGGTGCTGCCCTGCCTTCCCTGAATTTGGAGGTGCACCAAAGCAGCTTGGCCTCATCCCAGCTGTCCTTGCAGTGGTGAAGCGGCTGCCAGAGCATGTGCAGGTGGATGACCCTGCTGCCCAGAGGAAACTGGCCAAGAAGCTGGAGAGGCAGCAGGTACTGGGTGACAGGCTGCACACCTGGGGCAGCTGTGCTGCAGAGGGCCTGGGGGGGCACATGGTGGGACCAGGGCCTGCTCTCTGAAGGGCAGAGGGGAACTTTGCATGCCCTGAGCAAGTGCTGGGTGTGACTGGTGGCCCTGGAATGAGCAGAGCTCTGGGTGAGCCATCAACAACACTTGGCTGCAGGTACCTCTGAGGCAGGACTATGGCACCAAGGTCAACCTGTTCTCCCACCTCCACCAGTACAGCCGGAAGAAGCCACTGACGCAGCAGATGAGGTACAGGGCCTCCCCAGCCCAAGGCTCTGCTTTGGCTGGCCTGGCTGCAGAATGGCTCTGGAGGAGTAGTGTCATAATTCTGCATGTGGGATACACCCAGTGGAGTGGTGGGGGACGTTTCGCTTGCTTTGAGGAGTGGCAGTAGGGGAAGCCCAATATCTTTCCTGTGGGGAGAGTGCAGGGCCACAGGAGAAGGGGCTGTGGGGTGAACCTGGCTCCTCAGGTTACTGCCAGCCCCTTTCTGGGCCGTCCCTTGGGTTGTTGGGCTGGGGCTCATAAATGGGTTGCGTGTTTTGGGCTGCAGAGGTGCTGACAGCTCCCTGCCACTGGTCCCTGCAGCATCCCCTCCACAGTGATCCACCCAGCAGTGGTGCGCCTCGGCCTCCAGTACTCCCAGGGCATCATCAACGGCTCCAACGCCCGCTGCATCGCGCTGCTCGAAGTCTTCAAACAGGTACCTGAGCAGCTGCCTGGCAGCAGGGACACCGTGCTGCCTGCAGGTGTGTGTTCCTGTGCCCTGACTGGTGGGGCTGTATCTGTGCTCAGTCATCCTCAGCCTCTTCCTTTGGCTCGTGCCACGGCAGGGTCCTTTTCTGGCACTGCCCCTGCTGTTTTGAGTCCCTGGAGCACCCTTTGCCCCTCCAGGCAGCGTGTCAGGCTGTGCAGGACATGTGAGCCCCGACTGCAGCCCTGAGATCATACTCCCTTTCTCCTTGTCTCAGCTGATCCGGGATTACTCCACTCCCCCCAATGAGGAGCTCTCACGGGACTTGGTGGCCAAGCTGAAGCCACACATCAGGTGAGGGCTCCCAGTGCCAGAGCAGAGGGACCAAAGCTCCACAGAGTGTGGTCCATTGTTCACATCTCTGGGGGTTGGTGTCCACCCAAACTTTGGCTGACTTTCCTAGGCTTCTGCCTTCCTGCCCACCCTCCCTCTCCCTGTCTTGGCCCTCCAGGCTGCTTTGGAGCTAAGCCCATTTCTTCCTTAGTTTCCTGAACCAGTGCCGGCCTCTCTCAGCCAGCATGGGCAATGCCATCAAATTCCTCAAGAAGGAGATTTCATGCCTGCCAGACACCCTGAGAGAGGATGAGGTGAGTGGCCTTGCTCAGTGGCAGGCTCCAGGCCCTGGGCGAAGGAGCTGAGCAGGGATGGGATGTAGACACAGAACAGTGCTGCAGTGGAATTGAAAACTTGTTACTGGGGGGAAGAGCCTGATCCCCACCTGGCTCAAATCAGGGAGCTGCTGAGAGCAAGAAAGGTGTATGTGATGTCTCTCCCCAGGCAAAGGAGAAGCTCCAGGACGTGATCGACAAATACCTGCGAGAGAAGATTGTCCTGGCAGCTGAGGCCATCTCAAGGTCTGCCTTTGAGAAGATCAATGACCACGACGTGATACTGGTGTATGGATGGTGAGCACAGAGCACAGGCAGCTGAGCCGGCGGGTAGGAGAGGGGAAGGAACAGCATGGGAGGTGAGGCTGTGATGGTCCTGCACAGGGCTCAGCACTGTCCTAGCTGGTATGAAGTTGGATTCCAAGAACCCCAGAGCCACAGCTCCCTCCACCCAGGGCACTTACAGAACAGCCAGGGTTGTTCACTGGATTTCAAACAAACTGCAACACAGTCAAATGTCGGGAAGCAAATATACGGAAGTATGCATCCCAAGAAGTAGAGGTGGGGAAAAGAACCAGAGATTGCTGCAGCTAGAGTCCAGGTGTGCTATGTATGCTGGGCACAGCAAGGAGCAGGGGCAGGAGGCCAACGCAGGCTGGGAGTGTCGTGAGAGGGAAGCTGGGAGAGGGTGTGGAGCAGCAGAGTCACTTGTGCTGGTCACAGACAGGGAGGTTGTCAAGCAAAGGCCTTTTTTGCTTCTTTACCTTGGACTATACTAGCAGCAATTCAGGCTGCAACAGGTGAGTGCTGCTTCCAGGGAGGGCTGAGACATCACCTTTCCCAGGGTGCTTCCTTGTGCAAAGACAGGGAGACGTGCCCTGGGAGCCGTCGAGGCAGGAGGGTTCTGGAAGGGCAGCACTCACAAGGATCAGGGTGGTATCGTGGCCAGCTGGGAGCCTGCCGTGGTGGGAGGCAGCTCCTGACGGGCGCCCCGCAGCTCCTCCCTGGTGAACCGGACGCTGTGCGACGCCCACGCCAAGAAGGGCCGCGCGTTCCGCGTGATCGTGGTGGACAGCCGGCCGCGCCTGGAGGGCCGCGAGACGCTGCGCCGCCTGGTCCGCCGCGGCATCCACTGCACCTACGTCATGATCAACGCCATCTCCTACGTGCTGCCCGAGGTGAGGGCTGTGCCACGGGCCGGGGAGGCTGCGCTGTGACCAAAGGTGCTTACAGAGCCCGTGCTTCCCCGACAGGTGTCCAAAGTGCTGCTGGGAGCCCACGCGCTGCTGGCCAATGGCTCTGTCATGTCCCGCGTGGGCACCTCGCAGATCGCGCTGGTCTCCAAGGCCTACAACGTGCCCGTCCTGGTCTGCTGCGAGACCTACAAGTTCTGCGAGCGGGTGCAGACAGATTCTTTTGTCTCCAACGAGCTGGGTACGGCTTCTGTCCCTTTCCTCCCACCTGGGACCTTCTCTCCCAGTCCCTGCTGTGGACCACGACAGCTGCTCAGCCCTGCCATCCCTCTTCCTGGGCAAGGGGTCACTTGCAGGCAGGGGCATGTGGCAGGCAGTGGTGGTGTGTGCTGCTCCAGGGGCAGGATGGAGAGCTACTGTCCCTCTCCCGGTCCTGATTGCTTCTCCACTCTCTGCAGATGACCCTGATGACCTGATTGTGCTCCGGAAGGGCCAGGCCCAGCTTGGGGGCTGGGCAGAGAACAAGTCCCTACGCCTTCTTAACCTGGTCTACGATGTGACACCCCCAGACCTGGTGGATTTGGTCATCACAGACTTGGGCATGATCCCCTGCACCTCAGTGCCTGTGGTCCTGCGCGTTAAGAATGTGGATCAGTAGTCAGAGCAGCTGCATGGACACTAATAAACCAGGCCCCAGTACTCTGTGTGTGCCATCTGTGGTGTGGCAGAGCCCTGGCACCCGTGTCATCCATGTCACCACTGGCACAGCTCTGCACCTTCCTTGGGGGCTCTCCTCCCACTCCATGCTGCAGCATAGACGGGTCTTCCCCGTCCCTAGGCCCCTCCTCTGGGGAAACGATGACAGTGTGGTGATGAGGCTTACCCTGCTAGGAGATTTGGTGGCACTCAGGCTGTGTGGCTTTGGCGGACCCCGAGCTGGGCTGGTGTGGGAGAGCGCGGGTCGCTCTGGCCCTGGCCGCTGGCACCTTTCCCGGTGCCCGGGGTGGGGAAGGGCGACCGGCGGTGCCCCGCGGCCCAAGCGGCACCGGCACCGGCACCGGCGCGGCTCCCGAACCGCCGGGGGCGGGGCCATGTAAATCGCACTGCTGTTCTGGCAGGGGCGGGGGCTCAGAGAACTCATGGAGGGGCGTGTCTATGCAAATTAGGCACCGCCGCGCGGCATGACGGGACGCAGCCCGCGCAAAGACCCCGCTGCCCTCGTGTGCGGGCCGGGCCGTGCGGGAGCTGCGGGCTCACAGCGCAGGGAAGGAACTAATATCGGCAGGTCCCTGCACTCCGGGTGTGCTGGCCCGTGCGACATCACCGCAGCATGACTGCATAATTTATATTAGGGGAGAGGATATTCACGCTGTTCCTGGTTTCCGTGTTGGCGGGGGAGTTGTAGTCCGGGTTAGCTAGAGGTAGTGTGCACACGTTGTTTGTTGGTATTCCCAATTACAGACGCAGCAGCAGTGTTGCAAGCCCGACTCCACGGGGCCGCGGCACCCAGTCCCTGCCCCATCTCCATCTGTGCAGAAGCGGCCCAGCCTCGCCTCTCCAGGCTCCGGCCCGAGGGTCCAGAAGAGCCTCCAGCCCCACTGTGTGCTCGGTGGGACGGCAAGACTCGGGTTAGCGTCCTGGCCAGTCCTCCGACCTTGCAGGAGGGACGGACAGGGGCAGAGACTTCGTCCAACTCGGGGTGTGTCAAATTCCCACTCCAAGTCCAGCTGAACTCCCGGACTCGGCCGGGTGTGACCCGGGCAGGGCTCAGCGAGCGGGACCATCTGTGCACCCCGCTCCCGGCGAGGACCCCTTTCACGGGGTGTTTCCCTGCTCCTGCGGACACGGCATGGGACAGGCCCGGATCATCCCGGCCTGGATGGCAGCACTCCATAATGCAGCCCCCTTTAGGGATCTGCTGGCCCATTGCTGCAGAGAAGGGCGATATGTCTCTCCGGCACGGCCTGTTGGGGGAGAGCTCCCTGGGATGCCCCGAACCCACGGCTAGCCTCGAACCGCCCACCGGGAGCACGAGCGGACTGCCCTCGCTGCTTTCCCGTCCTGCCGGAGAATCCCAGACCCCTCGCGAGCCGCCTCCTGCACCCGCAGTCCCAGATGCCACGGCTCCCGTGTGCCTCGCCCCGTCCTCGGTGCAGGGCCGGGGTGCGCACTGCCCGGTCACCATCGCGGCGAGCAGTGACCGCCAGCGCTCCGGCCCACGCGTCAGGCTCTGCAGGGAACAGAACCCTGCACTCGAGAGAATAACTTCTCTCTATGCAACTCACATTAACTCAGTTCTGTTATTGAACCATGAGACCAGGGGAGAGCGCGAACGCAGTCCCCCACTAGGCCCGGCCCGCGCCAAGCCCGCGGACGCGCCGGGACAGCGCGGGCTCGGCGCGGGACCGGCCCCGGCATGCCGCGCGGCGGCAACTCATTTGCATGGACACGCCCCGTTAGGGCTGGCTCATGCCCCGGCCCACCCCACACCCGTCGCGTCCTTGTAACGTCATCGGTGTGGCCATCCCCGGTTCCGGTTCGGTGCTGGCGGCGCGGCCCGCACCGGGGCGGCGGCTCTGGGAGCCCCCGATGGCGTCAAGCGCCGCCCGCGGGCCGCCGTGCCGGGAGCGGAGCGTCCGGGAGCGGCCGGGACGACGATCGGGTTCTGCCGGGCGGAGCCGGAGCCGTAGTGGGGAGCGGGAGGGTGAACAGAGAGCGCTCCGTATGTACCGGGGGTGGACGCAGCGAGGCGGGGGCGCTCCCCGGGGTGCGAGCTGGTGCCGCCGTACGCGGTGCTGCGGGACACCGAGTGGTGCCAAGGGGCCTTGCCGCGTCCCGGCGCTGATTGCGGTGTTTTGGGGCAGGGGAGGAGCAGCCGGCGGCAGGTCTGCACTGTGAGCATGGAGCAGAAGCTGCGAAATCCCCGAGGAAACCGGGGCGGCCCCGAGCCTGTCCCGACGGCGCGGCGGAGGGCAGCGCCAACGGGGCAGTGGCAGCGCCGCGGGCTGCCGGGCGGCGCGGCAGGAAGGGCAAGGCCGAGGTGCTGCTGGTGGAGCTGTCCCGGGCCCCGGAGCCCATCCGGGCGGAAAAGGGGCTGGGCAGCAGCGAGGAGCGGGACGGCGCGGAGACCCCGCGGGGCGGGCGGCCCAAGAGGAGGGCGGCCAAAGTGTAAGTGGTGGTGACCATTGGGGCCGGGGCACCTGTGCTCTAGAGACACGTGAGAGAGCTGGGAGTGTTCAGCCTGCAGAAGAAAAGGGAGACCTTAGAGCCTCTTACGGTGCCCAGAGGGAGAGGAGAGGGCCTTTGGACAAGGGCCTGTAGGGACAGGACGCAGGGGAATGGCTTTCCACTGTGAGAGTTAGTTAGGGAAGAAATCCTTCCCTGTGAGGGTGCTGATGCCCTGGCACAGGGTGCCCAGGGGAGCTGTGGCTGCCCCATCCCTGGAAGTGTTCCAGGCCAGGTTGGGTGGGCCTTGGACAACCTGCTCTAGTGGGAGGTGTCCCTGCCTTTGGCACGGGTTTGGAACTGGGTGAGCTTTAGAGTCTTACGTCCCAAACCATTCCATGATTCAAGGCTCTGTCTCCCCAGAGGGTCTCAGTGTCTGTCCTGTAGGACTTTGTCCCCTGTTGGTGGGATGTACTGACGCCTGACAGACCAATCCTTTCCCACTTTAGGGAATGTGTTTGGATCCAGGAGCCCCTGGCAGGGCGCAGCAGCTGCCTGTGGCAGGAGGAATTTCCTTGGTTCCTGACAGAGCAGGAGGAGCTTGTTGGTGGTAGCAGGGCGAGCTCCAGGGAGTTCAGGGCGGGGGAGGCTGTGTGCTCAGGCACAGCTGGAGCGGGTTCATTGCCCAGAGCACGGCCTGGAGGGAGGGAGGCAGGGCTGGCCACCCTGTGCCGTGCTGCTGCTTACCTGCAGGCGCTGCCCTGGTGTTGCAGGGCTCTGCTGTACCTGCAGGAGCTGGCGGAGGAGCTGATGCCCGCGTGCCAGCCCCCTGCTCCCGCCAAGGGCGCGCCCGAGCCCGGCCAGAGGAAGCGCCGGAGGAGGAGGAGGGAGGAGGACGCAGACAGCGACGACCCCGCACGAGATGCTGACTTCGTGCCCTCGCAGGAGGTGCTGCAGGCAGAGGAGGAGGAGGAGGAGGGCAGCGACACGCTGCTCAGCGAGGCGTCGGAGCCAGAGCTGGAGGCACCCCGAGGGCACGGCGGGAGGACGGCAGCCACGGGGGTGAGGGCAGGCACTGGGGCTCTGCCTGGGCGCCTGCTCGCCTGTGTCCCAGCACCCACAGCTCCAGGTGCCCCTGCTGTCCCACAGGGCCCCTGCTGCCAGGGCAGGACAGCTGGGACGGGGTGGCACACGGGGGAGGCACAAGGCCAGTGGGGACAGGAGCAGGGACAGGTGCTCTGGGAGAGGGAGCAGGGGGAGGTGGAGGCAGCTCCTGAAGGGGTCCTGGCCTCCTGGGAGCTCCCACGGGGGGGCTGTGTGTCTTCAGCCCAGTGTGGCATGCTGACAGTGGCTGGGGAGAGCTCTGTTCTCGGGGGCTGTGGTGGTTCCCTTTGGGACAGGTGGTCCCCCAGGGCTCAGGGCTTGCTCTGAGTCTGCTCTTGTGCCCAGAGATCCAAGCCCCAGTGCCGAGGCCTCGCCCCCAATGGCTTCCACAACTCCATCATGGCCCCAGTGGAGAAGAGCTCCAGCCTTACCTGCAGCCTGTGAGTGGAAACTCGGGGTGTCTGAGGCTCAGGGGGGTTACAGGGGGCTCAGGGTGTGTCCTGGTGTCCCCACTGGCACAGATGCAAGGGTGAAGGAGCACGAGCCTCGGGAACGTCAGTTCTGCTGGGGTGGGGCACAGCTGGGTCGGGAGGGCTGCCAAGGGCAGGGGCCATGCCACAGCATGCAGGTAGGGGTGCTGCTCGTGCCTGGGGAGGGGCTGTGAGGAGGGGTGCTGGACATGGCAGGTGCAGGGCCATGGCTGAGGTCTGGCATGCACTGCAGGCGGGAGCAGAAGCACTCGCAGTGGGAGTTCCCCGACTGGATCCCAGTGGCACACAGGTGGACGTGTCTCTCTGACAGGTACCCTGGGAGCAGGGAGGGAGCAGGGCCAAAGGAGAAGTGGGGCAGGTCCCAGCAGTGGCTGGGGTGAGCAAGAGGGTGGGTGGCCTGTGCTCCCACACCCCTCTGTGTGTCTGCTGTGGGCTTTGGGGGTCTCTTGGATGTGGCTGTGGAGCAACATGGCCAGCAGCAGGGCCTGTGTGGGGGCTGGGACGGTGCTGGAGCACGGGGCTGTGCTGGGGTGATTGGGTGAGGGGTGGGAGACCTCCTCTCACTTGTGCCTGCACAGCGAGGCTGCCCCATACCTGCCAGCAGAGGAGAAGTCCCCGCTCTTCTCCGTCCAGCGCGAGGGCATCCAGGACGATGGTGCCTTGTACAGGTTAAACAGGTGTGTCATGGGGTGTCCCCAGGCCAGCAGGCTGTTTGTTGCCTGGCAGGCTGTCCCCCACCTGGGGTGGCAGTGGCTGTCAGGGTGTCCCCAGGCCTGTCTGGGACCAGGGGTTACCCCAGGGCTGCACCCATGGGTTGGGCAGCCGGCCCGTACTCTGCCCTGGGGTCCCACCAGCCCCTGGCCCAGCTCTGCAGAAGCCTTCACCCCTCTCCACCCACAGGTTCAGCTCTCTGCAGCCCCACCCAGAGCGCCTGGATGT